CAGTGCTATGAATTTTTTTTTCCCCATTATTTGCAAGACTGCTTGACCTAAGAAGGAAGAAATCCTTGGGGTGTTTGGTTTTTGTTTTTTTTTTTTTTTCTCTGCAAACAGTCAAGGAATTTGCTTAAAGACCACCGCCTTGCTTTCATGCTCTGCACCAGAAATGTTTGTCAGAGGCTACAGGAAGTTTATCTGCCCATTGGACACAGAGGAGGGCTGTGCAAAGTTAGGCAAATAAAGCAGCTGGCATGTCTTCCCTGTGTGGAGAGAGGAATGAGGTCACTTTTCACTGAAAAAAAGCAGAATTATCATTAGGAAGCTGGTATGAACAAAGTTTGTTCTTCTGTGCTTGGTTGTTTTGTTTGGTTTGGTTTGGTTTTTTGTGTGTGTGTGTTTGTTTGTTTTGGTTTGGTTTTTTTCAGACCTTTCTCACACTTTGAGGCATGGAGTCATTTGTACCTCATTTGTAAGGTGAATGGGCTCTGCTGGAGTGTTAATCTGCGGAGATAATGCATAAGTGACAGAGGTGATGATGCCAGTACTAGCCGCATATTCAAGTCCTAATGCCTCTTTCCTAATTTGTTGATCTTCAAGGACTTGGTGGTGGCAGCTTTTGCAGTTTTTCCGATGTCAGCAAGCAGTTTGCCTCCAATTCTGCAGTTTATTTCATCCACAGAGAGTAAGAAGCATACAGCAGAAAGTCTAAGGAAAACCAGCATCTCATGCGTTTATCCTCTTCCAAGTTTCCAGTCCCAAGGAGTTCCATGGCAGATACAAAGTGGCTGCTCTCCCTTTGGAAGTGGTGTATCTGCACATCTATAACCTGGTGTAGTTCCCCAAGCTGGTCAAGATTGTTGTCTTGTAACCTGTATTTGAGGGCAGTGTGCTACTGAGTTTTTTAATCTGGGCAGAGTGGAAACCAGCACGTTTTGAGGCTGAGCCTTCATGACTCTGTGTAGGGACTTGAGCATCAGAGCTCACAGCCTTGTTGCCTAAGCACATTTATCTGTTCAGGTATTACTTCAGCACAGTTAGTTCCTCAGAGATACCAGATAGCTGAATGTAAAAGGACTTTTTAGAAACAATTGCTAATCGTTTCCTATAGCATGAAAAAAGGAACAAAACACAAAATACTTTCAAAAATTGAGTTACTTTACAAAATTCTGTCATTCGGTTGCCTTACCTTTCCAGTTTAGCCATTTGATTCTACTGAATTTCACTTCTTGAGTGTGTTTTTTCAGCCCGAGAGGGTTTTTAAGGGACTCTTGCTCTGCTGACAGTTTAGGAGTTAACCTACTGGTTCATGGTCTCTGCCATCTCACCTGAAATGGGATCCCCTCCTATGAATGGGTGATGGTCAACAATACACATTGTTACTTTGCCTGTGTCCCAATCTGAGCCAATATCAAAAGTACTGCATTGTGAGCATTGCATTAAAAACTCATTTGAAAAGGCAAACAAGTGCATATGTACACATAGAAAGATTACCCAGGCCACTATACTGTTGTTTGGGGTTTTTATTCTAACATCTGTGCTGATGTTCTCTTAATGTTTGTTGTTCTTTCAGTCTGGGATTTGGCCCAGAGAATTGTGAAGTGTATTATTGCAGCCATCTTTTAATTGATATGGCAAACCTTTAAGATTTCTCTCAAGGCATATTTACTTCTAGATCAATGAAGCAGAAGTATCCAAAGAAGCAGTTGTAACTCCTGTATCTTAGCGTTTAAGCAAGCTAAATCTTCCAGAGCTGCTCCTAACTGTGGAGTCTAATGTGACAAGTGATCATGTATCTAGAAATAAAGCCTCTTACTTAAACAGTTGTCCTTATTTGAAAGTGCTGTGTGTTCAGAGTGGCTGAATCTGGTAGCACTGTGAACAGTACAAATGTCCTGATCCTTCTTCTCTCTTTGGCTTATCAGGATGAAACCCCATTAGTGGCAAAACACACACACACAGATGTACATAGGTGATATGGACCCCTGTATTATTTGGTGGTGGGCATCCAGTCTGTCTGGAGCTCCCCAGGGGCTGGCAGCTGGTTTTGTAAGCCCCAGAGGTGCACGGTCCTGCTCCGTTTGTTGGTATTTAGAGCCCTGTGTGTGCTCACACACACACACGTGTGTACTGTGTATGCCACACTGTCCTCAGACACTCAGAGAAACCAGGAACTGGCCCTGGGTGGCCTTGCCTCCTAGTTATCTCATGTGCAGAGACAGGCAGGTCACTGGCCCAGACCTGTGACCTCTCCAGCACCCTTGCTTAGATCCCTGCTCTCTCCTATATCTGGCCCTGACTTGTGGCCTTTCCATTACCTGGTCCCCAAAGCTTCTTAAGCTTCTTGCCAGCTCTGCTGTCTTGGTGTCTGTAGGTGATGGCACAGGCTGTGAGGAGGTGTGGACCCCTCTCCGATCGCTGGCACATGGACCTCTGTGCCCTGGGACACAGGCAGAAATGCTGTTAAATGATAAATAGCCAGGGCAAGACTGCGGTGATTGGTGTCCCATAATGAGGCTTCTTCTAGGCAGAGGCGCTCAGTCTGTCAGGCAGGTGACCCCTGGGGCCTCTCCCGCCCATGCCCCCAGAGCAGGCCTTGGGCTGACCAGGGGTCTCACAAGGGTAGATTTAGATTAGATACTAGGAATAAATTATTGTGAGGGTGGTGAGACACTGGAACAGGTTGCCCAGAGAAGTCGTGGATGCCCCATCCCTGGAAGCATTCTGGGCCAGGCTGGATGGGGCCTTGTGCAGCCTGGTCTAGCAGGAGGTGTCCCTGCCCGCCACCGGGGTGCTGGGAGATGTGATCTTTAAGGTCCCTTCAAGCCCAAACCATTCTATGATTCTGTAATGATTAAAAGTAGTTCCCAGGCATGCTTATAGATATACAAGCCATAGTCATAGCAGATGTAGGAATAATACTACGAGTACACTTACAGATGAGACAACATCATTATTTCTTGACATAGGGTTTTGTTGGTTTTTTTTTTTGTTGTCTCAGTGACAAATGGTGACTGGTGTAAATCTTTATATACTCCTGTGTGAGAGTGTGCACAAAAACCTGCCTTCTTCAAATAAACCGAGGGCTCTGGCAAATTAAGTTGAAAGGCTTTCTGTTGCTATTTCTTTTTTAAACCATTGAGAAGAAAAATGTTAAAGGTGACTCTGGCAGACCAGACTGCCCCTCATTAAGCTTTCCGTCTTTGTACGTCCATGTATGCTGGATCGAAGAAACAGAAAAGATATTTAGGGGTTTAATCTCAGATGAGCAGTTCAAAAGCCAGCTATGGGAAGCATCTTGTGAGGCCTCACTCCACCAGCTGGAAGAAGTCTGCTCTGCTCTAGTGAGACCCCACCTGGAGTACTGCATCCAGTTCTGGAGCCCCCATTACAAGAGGGACGTGGACCTGCTGGAGCGTGTCCAGAGAAGGGCCACCAGAATGATCCGAGGGCTGGAGCAGCTCTCCTGTGAGGACAGACTGAGAGAGTTGGGGCTGTTCAGTCTGGAGAAGAGAAGGCTCCGAGGTGACCTTATTGTGGCCTTCCAGTATCTTAGGGGGGCCTACAAGAAAGCTGGGGAGGGACTTTTTAGGATATTGGGTAGTGACAGGACTAGGGGGAATGGGGCAAAGCTGGAAGTGGGTAGATTTAGGCTGGATGTGAGGAAGTTCTTCACCATGAGTGGTGAGATCCTAGAATGGGTTGCCCAGGGTGGTGGTTGAGGCCCCATCCCTGGGGGTCTTTAAGGCCAGGCTGGGAGGCTCTAGACAGCCTGATCTAGTGGAAGGTGTCCCTGCTCATGGCAGAGGGATTGGAACTGGGTGATCCTTCTGGTCCCTTCCATCCCTGACAGATTCTGATTCTGTTTTAGCAGAGGATTTAGTAGTGTTGGCTTGATGGTTGGACTTGATGATCTTGGAGGTCTCTTCCAACCTAAAGGATTCTATGATTCTGCAGTTCTAAGTACAGCAGGAAGGGAGGTGCTCTTTAAAAGGAGCAGCAAAGGAAAGGTGATTGAAATTCTCCTCATCAAAAGGATTGTATTATCATGGGAAGTTGTCAGGTGAATATTGGGGAGGGCTTATTCAAGGTTACCTGAAGAGAAGACCATTGGACAGTTGCAGGATTGCCCAGCTCTGTGGCTCAGGGCTAACCCTTCAGCAGTGGGTGCCCGCAACTCTCACTGTATGGCCCTGCAAGGCCCTTGCGTGTGCATCATTGCCCTCCTGTAGCAACCTTCTTCCATCATAGGATTCTATGATTCTATGATCATGATCTCCATCAACTACTAATGGAAGTACCTCTTGGTAAAGTTAGTGTCAAGAAGTAGAAGAATCTGGTCTGTTTTCTGCTCTTTTCAGTGTGAGATTTACTGTGGTGTACTCTTAATGAGACTTTGGGTTGTAAACTAAACAAGACCCCTCTCATGTTCATGCAGCTTTCCTCATGCAGAAGCGAATAGTCCTAGTCCTCCTTGCAGAATTGATCTCTTGTGAGCAAGATCAACAACCATAAGACAGTGTATTTTCAGTTCCCTTTGATTTCCCATGGATAAATGCTGTCTTCATGAAGGAAATATTTTCCTCTGAATGCAGTTATAAATGGAATAGAGGACAAAAACTCCCAACTCTATTTTAATCACAGGACATGCAAGGTCAGGTTTGACTGCTTATCTGAATGAATTTTGAAATAAAAGGGTGTTTTTCACAAAATGGTAAGTTTATAGGAAAAGCTTTGCAGCAATAGTTTTTTTCGAAGGATATTGAAGTTACGTTGTCCACAAGAAAAGCACAGCAGAGGGGGCCTTTAGCTTTGCAAGCTTTTTTTCCCCCTCTTTTCCTGAGAGCTACTTTTTGGTGCAGAAGTGGTTAAGGCTTACATCCTGTTTGTTGCACCACTATGGAGTCAGGAGAGTGACAGAATAAACTTGCCTATATGAGGCAGAATTTCCTTCTTAGCTCAACATACATAGTTCAGATAAGTATATTCTTATTTCCCTTTCCTAGGAATTTTCATCTGGCAAAACTGAATGTTTCAGTGGACACTGTTTAAGATCAATGAGAAAAAACCTGCCGACTTGTTCAGACTCTAGCTTTGAAAAAAGCATGGAAATACTAAGTGAAAATGTCAGTCGAAGACGCTTTACGAGGTATTGTATTTCTAGGTGTTCTATCTGTGTTCTATTTACAGAATGAAAAGTGAAAGCATGCACGATGAGTCATGTCATGATAAATCTACAGAAAAAAATCGTCAGGGGAATACAATTATATTACTGTCAGTGCCAGTAACTTAGATCTAGAATCACTCTTAGTAAAAGTTTTCTGCATGTATAAAAAACATGCGTCTTTCCCCAGTGCCTTTGAATTCTTTCCTCCACTTTGGTTGCTGAGGTATTATTTGCCCTATTAAGTCTTCACGATTAGCAGGTTAGGACATGTCTGTCCTTAGAGAACTGTGTACGTAAGGTTTGCAGCAGAATCGAGATCTGGATCCTCCGTGTGGTCCTTGGGCTTTTCTTTGCATGACATGGAGTACTGGATTATAACCTTGGTGAGTTCCCCAGTCTTGAGGGGGAGCTATACAGTGCAATACGATACGGTATCATGCTTCTAGACAATAATTCTAATACAATAATTATTTTCTCCTTTCTTCTGTCGTCTTTCTTAATGTAGGCAGTTGGCAAAGCTGAAATCAGACCAAAAAAAAGAAGAATATAAAGAAGGTAAGTAGTGCTAATTCCTTTTTAGCCTGGTCTCTGAGAAGGACTGCATTTGGTCACTGTCTATTTAACTTGGCCCCAGAAACTTTTGAACTCGTCAGCCAAAACCACCTGAAGTTGTGAGACTAGATATCTCACAGATAGTGAATTTCCTAAGGGTTTTATGAAAAGAGGTAGGTGCAAGTAGGAGGATATGCTGTTAATTCCTTCCAGGCGTGGGGAGAACACAGTGTGAATTCCAGCCTGCTCTTAGACACTAAAGAATATGTTCCTTAGCTTAGGTTTCTTCATGACATGGGGTTTCTGGAGTCTGCAGGACACAAATTAATTGAAAATCGTTCTGGCAAATAGGAGGGAATATTGCAGTATTATATGTGAATTAAAAACAATTCAGTCATGAATGTGAATACAAACCCACAGAAATGGGGAAGATGTCACTGAAGTTCAGGGGTTTACTTTGGAACCGAGTTGCTGTGCTGTGCAGACAAGCTTGCTTGGTGCTGTGAGGCTGCTTGCTGGCAGCTGGGGAAATCCATTAGCTCCAGGCAGCATCTTTCCAGCCATGGGCATGGGCTGAACACGGGAAGGAGCCTGAAATGCACTTTGAGTGTAGTAATTCAAATTCTAATTGTGCAAGATAAAAGATTGAGTGTTGAACTCAAAGTTTTACAGGTGGTGATGATGAGATAGAAGTGTAGCTGTATTTATACTAACACAGCAATGCATCTACTACTTTTTCACTGACCTCTCTTAACTGTTTTAATGATAAACAGGTAACAGGCCTGTGGCAAAGGATGCTGTGTGATGAATACTGGGCAGATCCTTTTTTAAAGCTAGCAAGTGTTTTGAGCTCTTTTGTGTTTGGGAGTTTCCCTCAAGGCATTTCTCCTAGAGCTTTCCTGTCCTCATGCAGAAAATGGAAATGATGCATGCTTAAACAAGGTACTAAAAACATGCATCTTAAGAAGAGACTTCCCACTTGAACATTTTTTTTAAAAAAACTTACATGAATGGAGTAAAAACACTTTAGAGAGAGGTATTTGATATTTTCACTTTCTCTAGAAAGAAGTAACTGGAATAAACTTGCCTCCTGCATGGAACAAGAGTTGTGTGCTTGTTTTCATCAGATTGGCTTTCCAGTCTGTTAAAAAATTGCTATACAAGTCATGTTTTTAAGTAGGTAGTTTAAACATAAGTAATTTAAGTTGAATGCTGTGATCATGACAATATCTTCTAATTCAATATTTAAAGAAAAAAATCAATCCACTGCAGATGTTTTTACATTTTACTAGAGCAACAGTGAAATAAAGGGAATAACATATTTTCTGTCTCAAAGTGTTTTTGTATTAATATATTTTAGTCACCAGAACATTGAAGACCAGCACTGATACGAAGGCTGCGGAACAAGTCCATGAAGAAAATGGGAATTTGGAGGTCCGACAAAGCTGCAGACTTCAACAAAGTCATTACACCACTGCAAATGAATCCGTTTTGTTTGACAAACTTATAACAAAGTAAGTGGGTTCTTTTCATCATCTTGCAAAGCTGCTAAAATGAGCCTTACTAACAAGCCATTGTGCTATGACATGTGCTAGGGACTTTCTCCTTCTTTTGACAACAGGAAAAGCTATTGTTATTCTGTCAGCAAGAGCTAAATGTAGGCTGAGACTTCCCTAGGTATACAAGTCCTTGTGATAACTGCTGGGCTGCAGGTGCCCTCTGTAGTAGAGTCCTACCAGGGTTGCAGAACTGGCAAGTTTTCAGGTCTTGTTAGCAACCTCTGCTAACATTCTGTTGGCATTAATCGGGTAGGGTCTCCTCCTCTGCCTGCACTGGTGTGTCTTGTAATTATTAATATACTGATTCAAGGTGTGGGCCTTTGTATTTTGCAATCAAGCTGTTTAACCTGAGTTCTTTTGAAATGGGTTCTTGTAGCTCTTTAAGACTTCCAAGTCCGAGAGTGTGCGTGGGGGGGGGATGCATATGGAGGGTGTGTTATATGTAAAGAATTTAGGCACATCCCATGTTTAAACTGGAACTTTTGTTTTGCCAGTTGTGGAGAGATTTTCATAGTAGAGCATCATTTGTGTGTGGGCTGGGTGGGTTTGTGTGTTGTCTTGTGAACCAAAACTATCACTTTCTGTTGTAACTTTCAGGAGATTTAACTTGCCCTCTAAATCCATTCTCTTACCATCAGAAGCATGTTCATTTTTAATTAACTTTTCTTCCATGCTTATGAATGTTTTCATAATGCTCAGTTGAGTTAAGATACTAAGGACAGTTGGATACAGCCAAAGTGAAGTAATCCTTGTGTTTCTTCCTGTCTGTCCATAGCTCAGTTCTCTTTGTGAAGCCTAAATTGACATTATTTTCTGTAAGGTTTGCAAACTGTAACAGCAGTGGGATGTTTTCTCCAGCATATATAATAATGGAAAATCAACATGAATCTTAAATTACAGTTAAGAAAAGAATAACCAACCTGTAGTCTGAGGAAGGCTATGAACTAAAAATGGCTTAAATCTATCGTGCAGAACAACTTAAGTGCTGTTAAAAACTGCCATAATTTCTTTCTGTTATCTTACTATGATCTTCAGAGTTCTCTTTTTCTTACTAAAACTTTTTTTACCATGTTCAATGAGAAAGGAAAGTACACTGTTTTGAGGTTGATGTTTGCAAATCCTCAAATGCTTGTTCCTAAATGTCTCTAAAAAAAAGTAAACATTTGACCTAACATTTTAAAGTAGTGCTTGGCGAAGTGCTTTGTGCATACTTTATCAAAATACCATACTGATTATATGTACTGTTTTAAACATTTTTTTCTTTGTACTTGTCTATCTTTGCTCTTACATGTAAACTTTTTATGTCAGTACTGCAGAAGCAGTCTTGCAAAAAATGGATGACATGGAGAAGATGCGTAGACGGCGAATGATGGAAGACCTTGGGGTGTTCCACGATGCAGAAGTAGATACTAATTTATTTTACTGTTATGTATAAAAGCAGCGTGTTTCACAGAGGGAAATTACTTAGTTTTAATTTAGCTGAAAGAATTTCTTCCAAAGAATAATATTTAGTTTTGCTCTCCAGTTATAATCTAACATCTTAATGTTATGGTCATGCTACAGGTACACTCTTAAGGGAGGAAGAAATAACCTTCAGAAGACATGAAATAGCAGTCATATGCTGAAATAAGTTTCTTAGACTGTACTTTCTGAATTGTCTTATGATTTTTGAAATGTACAGCTGTTTCAAGGCTTGGGTTTTCATTTCAGTTCCTACTAAAAACTGAATTAGTCGTCATTGTCTGCTTTATCTGCGTTTGTTCTTGTTCCAGCCTTGCTGGTGAGCTTTAGTAGCCCTGTCCCTAGAGGAACTTACATTAAAATTATGTACAGCAATCATGTTTCCTCTGTTTTTGCTGTATTCAATTGCGTGCTTCTACTGTCCTTTTGAATGACAGGCACTTCATTTTTAAAAAATCTTTATAGCCTGCTTTCATAGTGTTTTGTTCAGATCAGATTTTTTTTTTTTTTTTTTAAACCAGAATTGTGCATAGTGCTTTGTATGTCATCTTTCAAATGCCTGTATGGATCTTTTTTGTATTTGGATAAGTATTTAACTAGCACATGTACTAAACCCTATTTTATAGCAGAATTTCTTGTTACTAATTCTGGATGCGAGAATGACATTCCTATTCTTTCCTTCTGTACCTTAATTTAGTATTTTATGTGTATGGAGTGCCTTGATAATGGTATTATACAGGCACCAAATATGCCCATATCAGGTTTTCTGCATATTTGTGACTGATCTTTCTTGTTTCTTTTAATTAGGAAAACCTCAATATGTACTCCCAAGGAAAGAAAGAAATACAGAGAGCTGATGAAGAAATAGCTGATAATCAAGGTGGCATTGTAGCTTAGCTCTATTTTAAATTTTCTTAACTATGCTCTACCCAAAAGCCTTGTCTTGAGCAAATGAGATGAGTTGAACTGCTACGTATTTTCAGCTATTAAAAAAAATCTGTATTGCTATTGAAATTGCAAGCCATAGTCCTGGACTGTAGGGCAGTACTGTAGGGAGCTCAGAACAGGTATTCAGTGACAGAAAGACATGGGGGCTTTTCCAAAATGATTACAAGGTAAAAGACAACAGGTGGCTGTGGACAGATGGGAATACAAAGAAATTAATGGTATTACTCAGAATGAGAACAAGTGATCTTGCTGTAGCAGGAGTGTGACAGTTTTCACGGTTTTGAGCAGCACAAAATTTTCAAGAAGTCAGGTAGGCTGCCAGATGTGTATGGAAAGCTCCTCCAGAGCGTGAAGATCAGCAGGGGAGAAGATAGTGCTGTTCAGTTTTGTGGCAGCTGCTGTCTGGGCCTCTAATTGAAACTGTCATTCTGGCACTCAGTGGGAAATAACATGAGGAATAAGGTTAAATTGTAAAAGGCAATGTTAACTTTATGTTTGAAGTGAGAGGAAAAAAACTTTAAGGTTTTAAGGAGAATGATAGTTGTGATTAAGACAGTCCATCCAACAATCCTTGTGGGAGCTTCCTGGACAAAACAGAATGAGGCAAGGCTGTACTTAAGGACAGGAAAGGATGTGGTGGTAGTTGAGTTGATCAGTGTTAGATTTTGTGATAGACTTCTTCTAGACACCCACAACTGAGCTCAGAGAGACAATGGCAAGAGAGGGCCCAAATAATACCCTGCCAGGTTACTCCCAGGCCCATCCATGGCCATCAGCCCATTGAATTCCTACCTGCACAGGCGCAGAGGAGCACAGGGGTGCATGATGGCAGGCAGGGACACAAATTAAGAAGGAATACCCAGCTTGTCTGGGCCCCTCCTGGGGTTGTCCCAGCAAAGCCGTCAGCCTGAGTGTCCAGACATGAAACCCATCTGGATGAGTCACCAGGGGCAGCTCTCCAGGTCAGCTTTTGGTCTGAAGGATTACTGCCTAGGGGTGGGACATACTGTGGGATGCCAGGAAAAAGCACTTCACACAGGGCTTATTATGAGGTCTTCAGGGCAGGAACCAAAGGCAGGACAAGGGAGTGGTCTAAGTGATTTTGGGAGGAATGAGAGTGGGAGAAGAGGGGCAAGGGGATAAAAAGCGCTAGTCACATGTAACTGATTTGCTGGTCAGTATGTTTGACTGACTGTGCCCTGCACCTGATAGTTTGTCTGACCTTCAAAGCACCAGAACTTGTGTAAGATGATTTATGGAATACCCAGTGAGGGCAGTATACTGTACATATTACACAGACTGTGTAAGACTTGACCACTGGCAATGGAGACCTACAGAAACGTTCAAGCTAGATGTAGAGATGCTAATGACCACTGGGATGATCTATCTTGTTCCTAATTAGCCAGAGACTAGTCTGTGGCCTATTGTTAGGTTTCTTATCAGCTCAGACCTAGCCTGTGGCTCCCAGGTACACACCTTAGTGATCAGACCTCTTTGTAGAGCAGTGAGAGCACACTTGGAGGAGTCCAGCAAGAAGGTGACCTAAAGAAACCAAGGTAGGGCAAAGCATTAACAAAAAGAAACACTATCAAATGTGCCATGGATGTTTGACTGCTACAGGAGAAAGACAGCTGTCCAATTGCTTGGAGACCTAGTTAGGAGAATATCAACTCCAGGCTTTAACAGCAGCTTTAATAGCAGGCGTGGGCAGTCTAGAGGCAGGAACTATATGGCTTGTTTCAAGTGTGTGGATCTCAGGGTGTTGGGCAGAGGAGACTCGGAAGAAAGGAGTTATAAATATATGTTGAATGGGAAATAAGAGTTGGGGGCAATTCATTTGTGATCAAAGTGAAAGCTATTCAATTTTATTAGGATAGAAAATGAAAATATACTTTTATATAAGTGTCAGTATTGGTCTAAGAAGATGCATGTAGCAAGGGGAATGACTGGAGGAATTGAAAAGCAGAGAAATTCGTGCCTTTGTGACAGGAGTGTTGGAGTACTGAGGACTAGGGATGGTAGTGATAGCAAAATAATTTTCTGGTTTTCCATGTACTGCCTCTATATCTTATGTAACTTACCTTGCATTCAGAAGGAAGGATGACCTTTTGAGGTGAAGAAAAGGGTAGTGCTTTCCAAGGAATAAAATTTACTTAATTTCACTGAGCGTGTAGATGAACAGAGCATGTACATTCCCCACCTAGTATCCAGCTACTGATGTGAGAGGGTATTATTAGGAACCTGCTAAATAGTTGTACTCTTTTTTTTTGCATTCTTAACCATCTTTCATGAAAAAAACCTTGAAATTACTTTACAGAAGCTAGTGGCAAAACAATATGCATTTGTCCTTATTTTCTCATTGAGGAAGTTCAAACCTGTGACTTGCCTGTTATTGCTCAAATAATCTGTGGCGGAACTAGGACCTGGAACTAGATGAGTCTTACCACGCTTAGTCTTACCACTATAGAGTATTAAAAATATTTGCTTGAAACACTCTCTCAAAATAAAGAAATGACTTTCTGAAATAGTGTTTTTCATGGGAGCTGTATCTTAGCTAAGCAAGATGAAAAAATTGTTGTTACTAGGCATGGTGAGAAGTCACCCAGCAATTTCAGCAAGGACAGAGCAATATCTACATGTATGCTTCTCTGTGTTTTCTAATTTCTTGAATGTGTCTGGCATAAATTGATCTTAAGGGTTTGTAGGATATCAGATCTGTTGTGTCACCAATGGGAAAGTAATAGTAAAGCTTACAGATACCTGTGTAGTGTGTGTTTAATTTAATTGAATTTGCAACAGTGCTTAAACGTAGTGTTATGTTGATGTATGGTAGTTTCATCAGAAGAAAGTGAAGAGAAAGAAGATGATGGTGAAGACACTCGAAAGCGTTACGACTTTCGACAAAGGAAAACTGTTGAGCGCTATCAGGCTCCACTGGCAAGTAAGTTATATGCAGAGTTCCTCTTAAAAGCTAGTTTTTTTTTAATGCAAATATATACACACTCCTGTTTAAATTTATTATCTTCATCCTCCAAGTAAATTTTATTAAATGAGTATATCCTGTGTGCATTACATCTCTTTGACATTTGGCATACTTACTGTGGGTTTTCAGTAAAAAAATACCTTTGTATCCTGAAAGAATAGTAATTAAACAGACTTCGTAATCTTACTCTTGTGGTTTTCAGTTCTCCTTAAAAGCAGGTGTGTGTTTTTTCACTTCGACTGTGCACTAATTTAATTTAAAACAAATAAAAAAATCTGCTCCCCTTCTCACCCCACAAATCACTTGAAACTTTCCCTGAAATTAGAGTTGCATGAAACTCATCACATTTTTCTGCTTCGTTATCCTACTTTTTCTTAAACTTCTTTCCAACGTTATTCTAAATTCTTTGCTTTCAACAGAACCAAGACAACGTAAGATAGATTTTTCAGGCCGGTCTTCACCTGTCAGACAGAGATACTCATTTAGAAGTGCTGAGTCAGACAGCTCTTGTTGCAAAGGAACTAAGAGGTTAGTGATAGTTCTCATTTATCAATAGTGCTGACAATCACGTTACTGAATAATGCTTTCAAGGGTTTTTAGATTGGCAATTACAGATTAATAGTGTGATTATTGCTGTGGAAGTCTGAAGGTATAAAGAGAACAACTATTGTGAGGAAGGCTATACTTTTTATTAGCCATTAGATTTTTTTAAAATGCAGTATTTGTGGTCACTGATAAGGTAATTGTGGAGATTGTGCAACTAAGATTCCTGTGTTCTGGAACTGAAGTCAGAATCTCCCTCTGAAAATATTAAACTATTTAATATTGAAGGATACAAGTTATTTTCTGAAAACTGCAGGTAATGTAGTTGAGTTTAATGGATCTTTTTCATCACTCAAACACTGATTCTGGTATCTTATTGGAATCAGTTAATGTTTCTGTATGACACTATGCTTAAACAGGAAAAATCCTAAAAGAAATAAATTATAAATTGCAATAGTAATGACAAAGGGGTTTTGGATCCTGTAAGTGATTAGAGCATGGAGAATGCCATCTCTTGCTAAGTAGGAGCACTTTGTCCAGCATCACTGAAAGCAGTTAGTTACAGAAGGAAAGGATTTTGAAGCCAAATAACTTAAAAAAGGTTTGTTTCACAGAGTGGATGCGTAATGCTAAGTGAAACTTGATTTGTGTATGTATGAGAGGAAGAGATTAGACAAAAGGAATAATTTGTTTATGAAATTTCTTTGCAAAATAGTTAAACATTTTACCTCCCAAAGAAAATTTTAATTTTGCTGTTACAAGAAAAAACATGATGATCTGGAAACTTAACAGATCTGAAAGGAAATTCTGAGATAGAATTCACTTAAGTTTTTATATTACTTAACATGTACTTTAATTTTTTTACTTGTTTGTTTAAATGTTTGCAGACGGAGACACGCAGCCCACAACAGTGATTCCACATCCTCTTCCTCATCTGATGATGAAGAGCCTTTTGAGAGGCATAGGAAGCACAGCCATAACAGAGATTTAAGCAGGTTAATGAAACTGGAGATTTAGGGGAGGGAGGAACCTATTTGGGAAGAGTTTGCATCTGCCTAATCATGAAGTGTTATCCTCTTCATCTTGTACACTTTTTAAATTACGGCAGTGTTTAATACTATCTGTTTGTATTGACAACTGTAATTGGACTCTCTAAAGTGGGACTTTTAGAACTGATTTTGAATAAGCAATTTGATTTCTATCCAGGAATGAGGAGATGAACACTTCTATATAATTTTGTAATGTAAAATGCTACTGTGCTTTACAGTATTTTATTGAGAAAGAAAACCATTATAACTGAAAATGTTACAGAGGAAATAATGGAGGTTTTGTTACTTACCAAACACTCTAGAAAAGCTGTTTTAATAACAATCTGACAAGTAAGTTTTCAGCCTGGTGTTTTTCAGCCTTGTGTCTTCAGGCACATGCATCCCAAAGTCCTCAGGAAGGACCAGCAGTGGTGGGCACCCTTTATAATGTTAATCCACACTGAAACAAGTATCCCCTTGGGCTGTAATTTTTTCAAAGTAAGAAGTCTTTGAAAGACGTCAGTGTGTTTTAGGGGTGTTCTTCTATCACACAGACCAAGGGCAGTTCAGTCTCCACGTAGAGAATAACTTGTTCTAAGCTTGCATTCGTATATGAGCTGTGTTGACTGGCATGGGTATTTGTAAGTGCTAAGAGCTGTTAAAATAATTAACTCACTATAATGTCTGGAAGGGAGTATTTTCATTTATTCTCATGGACATTAAAGCAATTTGAGTGACTATTTAACTATGTAGGAAGTTACTGCATTCAAAGATTCAAAGATTTTCTGCATTCATTTGCCATCGTTATAAAGCAAAAGTCTTCTAGCTACATCTTCAGGTAGCACCTTTCTCTTTCCCCTTAATTCAAATCAGGTGTCTTCCGCTAAACTTTCGGAAAAATGAGTTGAAGGGAATTCACAAGGATCGGATGAAAATTGGAGCAAGTCTGGCTGATGTTGATCCAATGCAAATAGATCGTTCAGTAAGTAGTTTTAGTTCATTGTGTCAGTGAGGTGCTTCCAGCATTTATGAAAGCTTTCAGTAGCGTGCCCTCTACCACTACCTTGGCTTACAGTTTTCTCTCAAGCAATTTGAAAATTGCCAAGGTTTCCTTTGTGCTGGTGTAATTTCTGATGGAAGCTTAGTGAGGTTACAGCTTTCTTTAACATCTAATGTGTTCTGTTGAACAGGTACGATTTGATGGTGTGGGTGGTCTTTCTGACCACATTTCAGCTTTAAAGGAGATGGTTGTTTTTCCATTGCTTTACCCAGAAGTCTTTGAGAGATTCAAAATTCAACCTCCAAGGTAACAGACTCTGTTTAAAACTGTCAATACTAATTCACCTATTTTCAGGAGAATATTCAATTGAGGTTTCAATATGTTTCCATGCTTTAAAATTTTCAGCAGCATTGATGAGGTTTTTTAGCGTAGTAATTTCTTAGAAATAGATGGAATCCAGATTATATGTATTTTCAAAGATTTACTGTTTGATGAGAATATACTTTCAAAGTGTCTTGCCTTTAAAAGGTGGGGTTTGGGAGTTTTTGATTTGAGTTCTATCTACAAGTCAACTCGATTAGATTATAAGCAGGAAGGAATTATCTGGTGGTAGTCAATTGGAAGTCCAGTTGTCTCTCCTACTGATTCTTTTTGCCTTGTTTTTTGGGGGGGGGAGTTTGTTTTGTGTTGTTTTTTTTTTTTCAAGTGCTTAGGTAACAATTTTAGAATTGATAGGACTTTTGACTAGAACCTTGCAGTGCTTGTTATGCTTGGGCTAAAATAAGAGTCTGTGCACTTCTTGCACAGCTAAATTAGTTCTGCATTAACAAAATTGAATTGTTAGAGATTTAAATGTTAGCTTTATATATTCTTCATCAGCAAAACTCAATCATGGTATATTGAAATGACTTTCTTTGCTTTCAGTAATTTTAAAGGCATTACAAATAATGAAAATCTTTCTGTATTTTGGTTCTTTATTCATTGAAATGCTTCTTGAAACAGCAGTGTATTGGCTTTTCTAGTTGATGGCTATATTTATATGGAAATGCAAAATATCCTCCCAGCTTTAGGCTTCCTCCTCCTTTTTCATGAGCAGTAGGAGACTGAATCCAGTAACTTAACGCTTTTTATGGGAGAATGAAATGCTTTACTGTCTAATCTTGCCTTTTGTGAATATAAGAATATATATGCAGTGTATCATTAAAGAATGAAGTGGTGATTCATAAGTTAGCCAAATCTCAGATTCTGTGCTGAAGTTTATGTTTGGCTTCAATGTTCTCTAACCACCTTTGTTAGTTTGTCAGCAGTTTTGGAAGTGTTCTTCTGGGATACTGTGACCTTTTTTTCAAGGTTTAGTACATCTACATTATCTACTTTATTCATTTCATTTGTGGTTTTGTTGAATTGTGTAGGAACACAAAACTTCCATCTGTTTTGACTTTACCACTGCTTTACAGATGGAATGTTTTGTTTAGGAGAGAAGAGTGTGCTCTAGGGATGGAGGTTGTATTAGATACTTTTCCATGGTATTTTTTTCTTCTGTTAATGTTTTGTGTTTTATTTTTAATTCCAGAGGCTGTCTATTCTATGGTCCACCAGGGACTGGAAAGACACTGGTTGCTCGTGCACTTGCTAATGAATGTAGCCAAGGTGACAGGAGAATAGCCTTTTTTATGAGAAAAGGTGCTGACTGCCTGAGTAAATGGGTGGGGGAGTCTGAACGACAGCTTCGCTTATTATTTGATCAGGTACGGTTGAGATGTGCCATGTGCTCTCCCCAGGTTGTTAACTGTAATTCTCTGTGGTCAGTACATTTAAGAATAACTCATTCCTTTTCATATTTTGTCAGTTCTTTCCACTGAAATGGGATTTTCAATGTTTCATTTTTCCATGAGATTTTTAAGGGCTTGAATTTTTGAGATATATTGGGAAAGATTAATAAAACAAATGAGAGAACCTAAAAACAAAACAAAACAAAACTTCAAAAAAAGATTTCAAGGACAAGAGATGGTGAATTTAGACTAGAGGGAAACATGCAGACTGAAAGCATGGTCATTTAAATTCATAACAGAAGCTTGCCTCCAGAACCTGTAATTGAATTAAGTCCTGGCTCTGTTGTCAGAGTTTACCAAATAGCTGTAAAAACTACAGGTATGATTTGTTTCCTGTCACTGTGTCTCAGTGGGTCAACATAGGCTGCTGTCTTCTATTACCTGTGCCACTTACTCTATTAGCTCAATTAGTAGAAGTCTCTGATGCTCCAGTGACTTTTCCAACCATAATGTTTTTCATGCATTTTCTCTTTAAAACAATACTAGTTTACTTCTGTCAATATTCCTGTGTTTTTATTCCAGGCCTACCAGATGCGACCTTCAATTATTTTCTTTGATGAAATAGATGGTCTTGCTCCTGTGCGGTCCAGTAAACAAGATCAAATCCATAGGTAGTCCATTGTTTGTATTTACATAGCGTGCCTGGTCTTTGTGAAAAGAAGACCAGAACCTCTTTAAATTTGTCATGCACTCATTTATTCTGAAAACTTCAATTCAATGCTTCTAAATGTCATATGATTTTTAAACAATAATGAAAAACAATTCACGAAGCTTGATATCAGCACAAGGCCTGTGTTACCTATTTCTGTCCTAAAATGAGTCAGTCACTAATGGGTGAAATTAATCTCATCAATTTAAAGCTTGGCCTTTTTGAGTGATAATTGAAAAAGATCATGTAGAACGTAACAAAATGTACTAAAGCAGTGAATGAAAATTATATTTTTGTTAGCTCTATTGTGTCAACACTTCTGGCACTGATGGATGGCTTAGACAGCAGAGGTGAGATCGTGGTGATCGGGGCCACCAACAGGCTGGATTCCATAGATCCTGCTTTACGAAGACCCGGGCGCTTTGATCGAGAGTTCCTCTTCAGCTTGCCAAATAGAGAGGTCAGAACTTAACCTTAATGCTTATGTGGCAAAGTCCATTTTTATACCCAAACTACATCACAACGCAGTATCACAGAGCAGTTGATGTCAAAACCAGTATTGTACAGCTTGGACAAAAGAGGGGTGTCTGGAGAGACTGCGTTGTGCTGTGGAGGGCAGATCTGCTACTGAGTGTATATGATTAAGGTGATTTCAACAAGTAGGTAGTTCTCTGATGAGTTTTCGTTTCACTGTGACCAGCCAAGAAAATGAGACACTGCTAGTCACTGAAATGTTGACGAAAGAATGAATGTATGAATTAGCTGTAGATTACTGCTATCTCATCTTGAAAATGAAAAAATTCCTTTTTCCTAACAAAACTTTTTATCAAGGATAGTGCTGGAGTGAATGAAAGTTTTTCATTCCCAAAGTGGTTCACATTTGCTTACTTATTAACCCACTTAGTCACCTTCACTCTGAAAGGCTCTTGCTCTCAGTTCTTGGCTTATGAATGGATAGCAGATGTATCTGGGTTGCATTGTTCCCAGGCTGGGTATCCTGGGAGATACCTATACGTACTTTGGGATCTGACATTCTTACTGGTATTCAGTAACAGGGAGTTCGACAGTGATGTGAAGTACACTGCACAGGTGCAGGGCTTAGGAACCTTCTAGTCCAATGACAGTAGCTAAACAATGAAAAAATAGGTATGCCACAACCAAAAAATACTGGGGGAGAAGATAGTGTGCAAAAATTGAACCCTGTTTTTATGTTTTTGCTCTGGCCCTCACTGATATTTCTTCTTCTTTTATTAGCACTTTTTGGAAAAAAGGATAAAATGCTTGTTGGATTGAAGGCTGGTAAAAGTGCACTGAACAGTGTATTTAACACCAAAGTTTGTCTCCAGTTTTTAGCTGCTTTCAGGAACAGGAAAGGGTGAAATGGTGTTCCATTCTAATACATGATTCCCTACTGTGGAAGAATTCTAGAAATCTGCTATAATTAATCAATGTACCAGGAAATACTTAAAAGTCTTATTAAGATCAGAAATGAGGATAGGCAATGTTTGAATTTCTGGATCTGTGACAGTAGTTTGAGTGATAATTATTGTTCTTCTTTGTAGTTAATTGTAGCAATTTCAAATTAGTCCTAGGACTCTTTTCCTTGAATAAACCAGCAGGAAAGCAAATTTGATTAACTAATGAGACTATCGCCATGAAATTTTTCTAAACTAGAGAAATTTTTTTTACGAAAAATCTGTTTGCAGATAGTTTTTTTTACTACAGTTTTTTCATCACAATCATTAGGTCTAATACTTGTGGAAATTTATTTTTTACAGAAGCTATAAATGCCTTTTCTTTCACTGCAGGCCCCCAGAAAAAGTTTCATGTAACAACCTGAGAATTATTACATTTCCTGCTTGAAAAAGCAGAGAGCATATTAACAACTTTAAAATTTAGCTTAGAAGTTTAGCAGATAAGTACTTGTATTAATGTGAGGGGTTTTTTTGTTGTGTGTTGGTTGGTTGGTTGGTTGTTTTTTTTTTTTTTAATTTTATTTTAAGGTAAAACTTAAGGCAAAGTAAAATGCAACCATTTTGTTAACAGGCTAGGAAAGAGATTTTCAAGATTCACACACGAGACTGGACCCCTAAGCCACTGGACACGTTTCTTGAAGAGCTAGCTGAAAAATGTGTTGGTAAGTTAGAAAACAAAGTGAGTTACTGCATGTGAGCGTCCTTAAAGAAACTAAGATTGTACCAGGCAGTACCTGAGCTCGTGCCTTGCTGCAGAGCGAGGCAGAGAGGCAGCTGGCACACCTTGGGAGCAAATAAAATGAGATACTTCTTTAATTTTCTTTTATTGAATGGGTTTGGGGCATCTTCTTCAGGGGCAAAGTTTTGAGTAGGAGGCTGCTTCATCAGGGCAGGATATTGGGCTGTGAGTCATGGGACGAAACTGCAGTGCAGTAACTCTTGGCATTTTCTCATAACCTGTTAATTTTGGTCTGCATACAAAATCTTCCTGTGCTGCGCTTCAGAAACCTCGACCTCGACTTCTGTGTTGCCTGAAAGTGACATAACATTTGATTCTTGTTTTGTTTATTAGGCTACTGTGGTGCTGATATTAAATCCCTATGTGCTGAAGCTGCCCTCAGTGCTTTGCGCCGCCGCTATCCTCAGATATACGGAAGCAGTGAGAAGCTGCAGTTAGATATCGCTTCTATTAAAATAACAGCCGAGGATTTTGTCCTGGCTATGCAGAAGACTGTTCCAGCTTCGCAGAGGGCGGTGGCTTCACCTGGGCGAGCGCTATCCCCTGTTTTAAAACCACTGCTTGAAAACACACTAGCAAGAATCTTACAAGCTTTGCAGAGAGTGTTTCCCCATGCAGAGCTTGCACTAAAGAAGGACCAACAGCAAGGTATAACAAGAACATCCACCTCTCTAAAATTCTGCCAAAGCACAAATTTCTGGTTTGTGCCATCAACATGCACAGACCATAATGATAGTATAATTTTATAATATGTGTGAGCTCAGTGCTGGGTAGGACCTGTGAATGACTCGAGAACTGTGCATCTTCTGCTAGAGCACCCTATTTCTGACAGTGGCTAGCATTTATCACTTGTAGAGATGGATCTAAGGTTTCATATATGAGGCACCTCTTTCAAAATCTATATTTAAATAGGGGGAGAAGGGTATTTTTACATGAATGTTTCTAATTCTTGTCTGAAGGATGTCAGGACCACAATACAAGTGTTCTAAGCTAAATACTGTTTTAACCATCATGACTTTTAACAACAGTGAAATGCTTGTGATTGCAAGTACATGTGCACATGAGACAGAATGTTTTAGTAGTGTATACTTTGGGCCTTGGTTTGCATAGTATATGTGAGCTCACACTCCTGACTTCATCAGCCCTGATCAGGTTTAGTCTGTCAATTGGTGAGAGTAAATAAAGTGATAAACTCACTCCACTCCTGATCAGTAGAGATCCTTGAATAGTTAGTTATTAGGCTAACCCCTGGAGAATATCCTACCAGTATTACTCCCAGTAGAGCTGGTAAATGGTTTGTGTTGGTAAAACAGGGGCAGAAACCCACCAACAAAACAGCAGCAATGAGGCTAGAGGATTGGTAATTGCATCCCCTCTCTGTTGTCCACCTTCATTTATCTCCTCCTTCAGTGATCTTTGAGGAGCCTTATTTAGAAGATGTATGAGTCTGTATATTCTGCCTCACTAGTCCCAGACAAGTGGAAGCCTGTGGCCATCACGATAACTTAATTTCCCCACATCCAGTGGGGGAACTTGCTGAAGAAGGAAGTGTTTTTGTTGGGTTTTTCAGGTGTCTAGGAACTACAGAAGTTGTTCCTAATCATCTTTATTCTAGGGATAAATACTCCCCGCTTTTTCACCAACACAAAGATAATACTTTATGGAAATCAGGGGACATAGAACAGATTTGTAGAGACTTATGTGGTCTCCTTAGATCTGAGGTAGAATTAACTGTTTGGAAAATGGTGTTCAGCATGTGCCCTCAGATGAATAAATACAAGATAAGAGGTGTCCGGCACTGATTTAGAAGCTGTATTAATGTTAGAGCAGGATATGGACTACTCAGGAAAGTTAACAAATGTCTGTATCTTTCAGACAGTTTAAATCATATTTTAAGACATGGTGTGATTGACAGTGATGAGAAAGCACCATCAATCTTTGAAGATAAGCCAACTGGTAAAATGCCTGGTAGAAAAAATGAAAACTTTCTCAATTTTACCAGGTAAGCATTTGTCCCCTTCATGTTTTCATTTTTAAGATGGCTGGGTCTGTGAACAGTGTTGGTGTGAGGGGTGCTAGGTGAAGGAGTGAAGCATGTGTGTGTAGGGTGACCAGTATTTGCAAGAACTAAACATGAAGATCCATCTGAGTTATAATGGAGTACACTGCCATAACCCATCAAACTGAATGGCCCAGCCTTCTTTTTCTAAGTGTAAGTCACCCACAGACTATTAGAACGTGTTGATTTAATCAATGGTATTCCTTGAGAGACTCAACACTGAAGAAATGTCTGTCCTTGTAGCTGAAAAAAACCCTGTGGATTCCTTCTGCCTTCCAGGATTGTTAAACTAGTAGTGAATTACATGGCAGAAACAAAGTTGAGGAATGGTTTGTTAGAATGCTGTGAGAAAAATCTTGATGTCTGCATTTTGTATCTTTAATGTACTAGAGTTTGTGTTACGCTTTTGACATCTCAATGTGGAAGTCATGTAAGCCAACAGTTGAAGAAATAACTATTGTCATCACTGTTGGGTCAGTTATTTGTGTCATTTGCTGTTCTGTCCAGAAAATCTGATCTGCTGAGCTTGGTTAGATCTTTAAGATATTTGACTTCAGCTAGTTGAAGGTATGATGGTATTGCGGTGGGAAAAACAAATGCTCTTCACAGACGGGTTTCATGCGGGTAAAGCAAGATTACTAGGAAACTAATACACAATTCAAAGATTAAACCATTAGAATAACTGAATAATTTTTTTAAAAAAATCTTATATGTATTTAGTGTACTTCTGTATTTAACCAGTCCAGTTGTGTACCTCTTCAGATACAGCTAATGTGTTTCAGTACACACGGTAATTTTTTTTCTAGAAAGGTTCTCCTTCCTTCCCACCGTCTCCAGTAACGATGACCAAATTTCAGCTAAACTTGACTGATGTAGAGATCTCACAGTTACTTAAACTCAAGACCTACTGAAAACTGGTGATTGAAAATAGAGTGATGAGGAGGTTCAGATTGGTGTGTGCTGAGAGAGAGAATTGTTATTCTCCATATCGGGTTACTGGCCAGTTATGTGTGTTAAGTAGTGGACAGGAGAATGGACAAGTCCCCCTGTGGAATTTAAAAGCTTTTACTTAATCCAGCCAAAGAAATAGCACACATGCTGGGGATTGGCAGCATTTCTTAGGAGCGGTATGATACAAGTTTGTAAGAAAATGGTCTTCCTGATCACAGACCAAATAATATTTGCTGAAATACAAAGAGTATTTACCAGAAAAAAATGATAAAAAAACTTTAACATCTGTGTGCCTATTCATCACTTCATTTTTAAACTTATTTTCTTTTTATTGTTGTAGAAATGCTTATTACCAGCCAACATCCTGCAGGCCACGGTTCCTACTAGTTGGAGAGCCAGGATATGGACAAGCTTCTCATTTAGCACCTGCAGTAATACATGCCCTGGAAAAGTTTCCAGTTTATCTAATAGACCTCTCCATTTTGTTTGTTAGTGTCACATCACCAGAAGAAACATGTGCACAGGTATCTTTTTTTCTTTTTAATCTCATAGGATTCATTAACTGTATATAAGCTAGTAAAATAAACAAAATTCATTGTTAATGGAGGTGGCCTGGTTTGAATGTTCACTCCTGTATCAAAATCCATTTTTCTTCTAGACTGAATGATACCAAATAAGGATGTTCCACATGGCTGTATTTTCCATTCCAGACTGAACTGTGAGAATGTTGCTAGGAGCTCAGGAAGCTGGGGGGCTGCTAATAAACCCCTCTTTATGGCAAGAAATTCTGGCAGTCTCAGCAGGATCCAGAAAGTTGTTTTCATTGCTTAAGAACCTGTGCTCCCAGTAGATGACTCTGCATCAGCCTGACGGCATCATGCACTTTGATGTACCCCTCTTTTTCATTATGTTTATAAAATAATCACGGTCTGGGGGAAAAGAGGTGTTTCTTTTTTTACATTTACATAAATGGCTTGTACTGCTGTGGTGTATGCAGTAAAAGCATTAAAATTCATGGAACATTTACATTTGTACATAGGTGTGTTTTTCTTAACTGGAAAAAAATTAAAAGCAGATTTAGTGCCATTTTCTATTTTACTCTGTGGCAGGAAATCCATTTTGTTGTTTGGCATTATTGTATTAAAATGTTTTGACCTTTAGTTAGCAGCATTTGAGACAAAGTACATGACTAGATACTCTTTTGTCACAAAAGAACAATTATTTTTGTGTTAAGTGATGGTTGCATCTGCAGTCATGTAATTGCCATGTCTAGTCACTGCTTGGATATACCACATGTGATTCCCATCTTGTGACAGGAACTCCCTGAACACTGATAATCTGAGAGGGTGTATGGATAAATTCGTCATGTGAAAGGACTGTTACCACTTTCCTCAGGTGGTAGTTGTGTGTGCTCTTCTGTGATTGAGGTACCACCTGTAGGCAACAGCTCATGGTCTTGCAAAGCATGTGTTTTGCCAATGACCAGGCCCAACAAAAATGATACCACCAGCAGGAAGATGAACCAATACACAGACTGTATTGTATACAAGAAGGACATTGCATGAATGATCGCTGGGGGTACAAACAGATCAATCAGCTGGTACATAATTGACACTACCCCCAACGATCTCACAAAGGACGTAACTTGGCCTACAACAGGTGGTACAGAGACCCGAGGTTGCCCACAGCTGGCATGGGAAACAGCCAGACCAGCCAGTTAAATACATAAGAGAAAGGTGCCCAACTGGCGACTCCCGCGTTCGCAAAGGTCTTAAGCAGACTGGGGCCCAGCTCCAGGGAGAGTCAGGAGGTCTGCCCTGAACCACGAAGCTCTGTGGAGTGCATTCCACAGACAGACACTCCTGACTCCCTGCAAGTGGTCCCAGCTTTTATCCCCAAGCAGACACCTGACCTTTGTCAACTCCATGTGGGACCCCTGGGGCTCATTTCCCTTCTGGCTCTCCCTGCAGGGCCGGCCGCACCCTGGGGGGAAGCTATAAGGCAAACTCACCCCCTCTTTATGAAGGGCTGTGGGAATCACCCATATGTCCACCTTAATTCGGGGATCGGGGTTCAAACCCCCAGCATTTCAGCATGTAACCTGTTCTGATGGATCCTTTGGGTTGTGAGTGATTTAGCTATTCAGGCAGGCTAAAGACTGGTCACCTCCTATGAAACGTACCTGAAATTATGGATAGTAACCAGGCTTCTTATATGGCCTTAGCCCCCATCTTTTCACATAGGTCTGTCTTTTTCAAACTGTGCTCCAGACTGACTGGGATATGCGCCCACTCTGCATTGGAAATACTGTAGTCACAGTTGGGTGGTGATCTGACACATCTTGCTGAAGGGTTAGTCTTGTATTTTCAGGCATGCCACCACGCCAGCTGAGCTGTGAGGCTCTCTGGGAGTTATCTTACACCTAAGCAGTTTTATCCTGGGGAAAGATTCAGGTCAGGTTTTGTCTGAGTAGAAATGTCTATATTTGAGTCAGAGTGAAAATATTACCTTACTGTTAAGGAGTTGTTCTTTTTGGGTTTGTTTTGATGTTTTGGCTTCATGTGCTCCTATTTTGTAAGGTAGTTTGACTGGTATATAGTTATTTATTAGCCTATTCTACATGATTTAATTTTACTTATCCAACCTTTGATTTTACCAGTTAATGCGAGAAGCTCAAAGAACAGCACCAAGTATAATTTATATCCCACATATCCATTTGTGGTGGGAGGCTGTTGGAGCTACATTGAAAGCTACTTTTACTACACTACTGCAGAATATTCCAGCATTTGCTCCAGTTTTGCTGCTTGCAACATCTGATGTGTGTCATGCAGATCTCCCAAAAGAGGTATTTCTGTTGATACTTTTTTATTCAGTTTCTAGATAGTGTATCAATCCTTTAAGCATTAGAGTACTCTGCACTCTTAAGCAAATTCATACTGTTATTACTCAGGCACCTTAATCAGGCCTTTGAAAATTTCCTTAGAGAAAACAATGCTGGTAGCATTTTTCTGAAGTCTTTTCTGAGTAAAGAGATTGACTTTGACCCAACTTTTTCTCCCTTCTCACAAACTCATGCTTATTAGACAGAAGTGTAAATTTACTTAAGCTAGTAAATCCTGAGACTTCAAGATGGTTCAGTATGTACTTGGTAAGAATATATGGTGCTTGAAATATAATTTCTTTCTTCATATAGGTGAAAACTTTACAAATTAGAAAGCTAAGGTCTAGCTTCTGTTTAATTAACTTGGAAATCAATTTTTAGTTGTATTTCCTAACTAAATAGAGTAAGAGTACATGCTTAACTTTCTAGAAATCTGAGAGTGTGTGTTAAAGAAAGGTGTTCAAGATGTGAATGTGCTGCTCCAATTCTTTTGCCTGAGATACTTGGAAGTATGCAACTTCAGACACCTAATTTAAATTAAATAAAAAACAAAACCCACCTTACCAAAAAGCCCAGACTTGTCTGCTGACCCCTGCCTCTTCCCCTCTGTAGCCATAAGGATTCAAACTAAAGAAGAGCAAGGCAGGTTAAGTACAAAATAAGCAGTCTTGGAAGTAGTGAATCCCACCACTTTGTCAGTGTATCATGTGGTCCATTCATGGAGCTTTAACTCGAGAGGTATTCCTTAGAGGAGATATTTTAATTTGCCATGCTAACATATGAAAATCTAGCCTCTTAGGGCCAAGAAGATAATTTTTCAGTTTGTCTTCTCCAGATGATTATTCAGGTTAATTTATAAAGGTACTCATCTTTTTTGAATAGAATATGAATTTATGTGGCCTTATATCTGAAATATCTTTTCTCCTCACTCTTTAGATAAAAGAATTGTTTATTAATGATTATGAAGTTTTCAAAATCCAGTTGCCTAGTAAGGAAGAAAGAAAAATGTTTTTTGAGGACTTAGTTGTAAATCAAGCTGCTAAATGTCCCGTGTCAAAAAACAGCGCAGGTGAGGATATTCTACATATAAAACTTCTCTAGCTGTAAGTTAATAGCCATACAGTATTTACTTTGGTAATTTTCTATCAATAACTTTTTGTATGCTTTTATTTGAGTACCATAAATTGACGGAAAGTTTTTTGGTTGATGTAAGCTTGGCGGCCGTTGGAAGTACTGCCTGTGGCACCGCCGCCTGAGCCTCGGCAGCTGACAGAGGAAGAAATAAGGCGGCTAGAGAAGCAGGAGGAGGATACGTTGCGTGAACTTAGGATTTTCTTAAGGGATGTGACTCACAGACTTGCTGTTGACAGACGTTTCAGAGCATTTACAAAGCCTGTTGACCCAGAGGAGGTAAATTAGTGTTGATCTGTAATACCGGTTTATATGTCTCTGTTCATAATCCCTCTGTGTGTATTTCTGAGTGTTTGTGTGCTCTTTATAGGAAGGCTTATCTTTGCTTTTAGGATGGTACTACTATTATTTTTCAAGAAGCAGGAAGTGAATTTTGCTTCTACTTTTGCTGACTCCTTGAGGCTCTCAAATGTCTGATATTTGAGTATTCACTAAAAGCCCCAGGTTCCTTCTAAAACATCTTTAGAACTTTGTAATATCTCAGTTGCAACGGACCTACAACAATCATCTGGTCCAACAGGTATCTGGTCCAGTTGGACCGTATACCAACAGTTTGCTCATGAAAAGGCTTTGATTTGTAGGCATGTTGCAGCGCTGAAAAGCAGAGAGATCTTTCTTTACAAACAGTATCTGTAGGACTTTATTAAAAAGTGTAAAGCTTTTCAACTGACTGTCAACAGTTTCTGTGAGAAAGGAGTAGAAGCAGCAGTTCTTAAATTTTAAGATTCTATTCTCTTTCATCTGGGGCTCTTCAGTATAAGATCAACCAACCATAAGGACTGTGGTTTCGTCTTCCTCCCATACACTTCCTTTTCTCATGTAATTTATTGAAGTATATGCCCCTGGCTTAGACTTACTCAGTCAGCTGTAGTTTAATATAGCTTTGCCTTTCAGCAAAGTCCTGTTCCCCTAAGCATCTGCCGACTTGTCTTTCCCTTTACTTATAGTTTCTGAGATGTGAATAATATAAACAAACATAGATGTCCTTATCTAAACTAGTTATTAGAATCCTACTATGGTCTGAGTAAAGAAACGGGCACCTCTGGGTCCACCTATGTCATTCTAAAGTAGATGCCTAGGATGGATCATTCAAAGGTGCCACTCTTGCAGTCTCTTTCTTGCCACGAAGAGATACTCTGATGACGTTACTGAGAAAAGTTTATTTGCTGTGATTTTCTGAAGAGAAGTGAAATGAATCCTGCTTGGAGTTACTGTTCCCTTCTCTGCTCCACACATTCTTCTGACCTCCCTGCTTCTTTTCTTCCTTTTTCTGGTCTCTTTTCAAAACCAGTTGAAATAGCCCTTCTCTTTTCAAAAACTAATTGGTTAATTTCCGCATCGTTGAATGTGTCATAAACATCTGGGGTTTTTAAGAAGTCCTTTATTTCACTTTATTAAAATAATTAATTTTGGTACACACCATGTTAAGTCTCTGAGCATGTTTTTTTTTTTGATTTGTAGGTACCTGATTATGGCACAGTTATTAAACAGCCCATGGACCTTTCTGCAGTTCTCTCAAAGATTGACTTGCACCAGTACCTAACTGCAGGAGATTTTCTAAAAGACATTGATTTAATCTGTAGCAATGCTTTAGAGTACAACCCAGATAAAGATCCTGGAGGTAAGGATGTCGTTTTATCCCTAATTTTGAAAAATTCTAAGTGTATAAATTGATAAATGTCTTCTGTGGACAGTAGACTTGGGATTAGTTCATTTTAAACATCCACAGAGATGCAGGTTGTAAGTGTTGTAGCATTAAACTACTGGGGCATGAAATTGTGATATAAATATTGATAAGTAACTAGTGCTTTTGCTTTAACAATTAACTTTTATATTATGCTGAAAACTCTCACTGAGATACCCTTTCAGTACCTGCCTATGAAAAGAGAAAAATCTTTCTAAGTAATCAAAATAAAGGATTTAATTGGCTTGTAGAAAATACTCAGTTCTGACTGTAAAATTCCAGATCGTCTCATTAGGCACAGAGCTTGTGCTCTGAGGGATACTGCGTATGCCATAGTCAGGGAAGAAATGGATGAAAATTTTGAACAATGCTGCGAAGAAATCCAAGCATCTCGCAAGGAGAGAGGTATGGAGTTTCTATTGTTGAGACTTGTGTCAGTATTTGTAACCAACAACGCAAGACACAATTCTTTGCTCTCCTTCATTATAAGGTTGTAGCCCTTCAAAATACGCTCCATCGTACTACCACGTAATGCCAAAGCAGAGCTCCGCTCCTGGGAGTAAGAAAACAGATGTAAAGTGTAATGAAAAAACGAAGATGCCAGCAGCGCCTCTAGATTCCAGTACACCCCGCCATAAAGGCAAGTTGCATTTTATTCAGACTTTCTTGGAGAAACTTTTTTTCTTTTTCCTTTCTTGGAGAAAGTTTCTTGCTTAAGCCGCTGACACTTTTTGTGTTCTTGTGACATAACAGGCTTCTGTGATGTCTTGCTCTTCATGATAGAGGCATTACATTTTTTAATTTGCTTTAAAATGTGAGATAAATCCAAAGGTCAATCATTCAATATGGTTATGAAGTTCCAAGTACAGCATTTGGTTTACATTTACTAGGAGTTGTCGGTGACTAGTAAACAAGTGATGCAATTTTCAGTGTAGTGCCATTTCCCCCTTTTCTTTTGTTTGCTTGCTGTTTCCTAAATAGGCAGCAGTATTGATCTTCGTGTTCTACTCCTCTGGCTCCCCACTGCGTGCCAGTAGCATCGCCTTTGTTGAATAGGTACCTGTAAGAACATCATTTTCTGTTAAGCTTCTAATACTGTCAAATTAGGCATTAAAGCAGCTTCTTCAGCCTGTGAAAGGGATGTGATTACTTATATTTTCATCATCATTATTATTAATTCCAACTTATTGTCTTTATTCCAATTCATCTCCTCTTTTGGCATAGTTACAGGGGCTGGGACCAGTTT